GGAGCCTCGATGCTATGAGGGGGGCAAAGGATGCTAAAAAACTTGAAAATTTCTTGTTTGACATGGAGTAGTACTTCTGGCTATACACACAGATTCAGAGGAAGACAAGGTAGCAATGGCGTCGATGTACCTCACAGGGGATGCCAAGCTATGGTGGCGCTCCAAGTTTATCAATGACGAGTGTCCGATTAAGACTTGGACAAACCTGAAACAAGAACTAAAAAATCAATTTTTTCCTGAGAATGTGAAGTATATGGCTCGAAGAAGACTTCGAGAATTGGTACAAACAGGAACAGTACGAAAGTTTGTAAGATGCTTTTCTACCCTGATGTTGGATATTCGAGACATGTCCGAAAAGGACAAGATGTTTTATTTTCTTGAGGGCCTCAAGTTTTAGCCCAGGACAGAACTACAAAGACAAAAAGCGTAAGATGTGGCCACGGCCGTGGCTACAGTTGAACGTCTCAACAATTATAATGATGGCTCCTTAAAACGAAAAAATCCTCCATCAGCTGGCAGTAGCTTCAACATTGGGAGTGGGGGTAAGATGACTAGGCTGGACCAGCCATTCAGTGGAGGATCAGACATGAGGCCCTTTGGTCAAGATAGCACCCAACCCAAGACAAGTAACGCAGTGATTTTCAAGCCTAGACAACTGCTAGCTTACTTTCTTTGTAAGGGGCCACATCGGGTGGTCGAATGCCCACACAGAGGAGCCCTTAATGTCTTAAGAGCCTTGTCTCAAGAGTCCGCAAAAGTGCCAGAGAACGTTGAAGAAGTTGAAGAGGAACCAGCCATGATAGGTTCAATAAGGTTCCTCAATGCCTTCTACACCTAACTAAACACAATAAAGAAAGAACAGAGTAGAGGCTTGATGTATGTGAACTTAATAATCAACGAGAAGGCCACCAAGGCCATGGTAGATATGGGTGCAACCAACACTTTCATCACATCAGAAGAAGCAAAGAGGTGTGGTCTCCAGGTTAGCAAAGACTGTGGACGAATGAAGGCGATCAATTCGTCAGCCTTTACGATCAGTGGAAGCTCAAAGAGTGTGACAATCAAATTAAGGCCATGGGAAAGGAAGGTAGACTTTATAGTTTCCCTCATGGATGACTTTGATGTCATCCTCGGGTTAGACTTCATGATGTTGGCTCAAGTAATCTCTATCCCCACCGCTAGCTGCTTGTTGTTTTTAGGGGAACACCCATGTGTGGTGCCGGCCAATATCTTGCCAATTAATGGAAAAAAATGATTTCAGCTTTGCATTTCAAGAAAGGGGTAAAGAGAGGGGAACCCTCATTTGTGGCCATGCCGATCTACAAAAAAGGGTCGAGAGCGAAATCGATACCCGATGGCGTGAAAAAAGTGTTGAAAGAATTCGAAAAAGTGATGCCAGAGATGTTGCCTAAGGTCCTACCCCATCGACGAGCAGTGGACCATAAAATTGAGCCCCTTCCAAGAGTGAAACCCTCTGCTAGAGCCCCTTACCGCATGGCCCTACCAGAGTTGGCCGAACTAAGAAAACAGTTAGATGAGTTCATACAAGCCGGGTTTATTAGACCATCAAAGGCTCTTTCGGAGCATCAGTGCTATTTCAAAAAAAACATGATGGAAGTTTACGATTATGTGTTGATTACAGGGCCCTGAACAAAGTCACCGTAAGAAACAAATATCCCATCCCTCTTATAGCAGATTTGTTTGACCAATTGAGCCGGGCCAAGTACTTCTCCAAATTGGATCTGAGATCTGGCTACCATCAAGTCAGAATTATTGAGGGAGATGAGCCAAAGACCACTTGTGTAATACAGTATGACGTATTTGAATTTCTTGTTATGCCCTTTAGACTAACCAATGCTCCTGTCACATTTTGTACATTGATGAATCAGGTGTTCCATGACTACCTAGATAAATTTGTAGTCATCTATTTAGACGACATAGTGGTATATAGCTCCACTCTGGAAGAACATCAAGAACACCTACACCAGGTGTTTTGAAGGTTACAGGACCACCAGTTATATGTGAAAAGCGAGAAGTGTGCATTTACTCAGACCCAAATCTATTTTCTCGATCACATTGTCGAACGTGGCTATATTCAAATGGACATGAAAAATGTTAGGGCCATCAAGGAGGAGTGAACAACACCGAAGAATATTAGTGAACTCCACTTATTTTTGGGACTAGCTAACTATTATAGAAGGTTTGTGAAAGGGTACTCTCGCAAGACCACGGCCTTCACGGAGCTATTGAAGAAGGAACATAAATGGTGTTGGACGAGTGAGTGCCAAGAGGCCTTTGAGAGATTGAAGAATGCTATTATGAAGGATCCTATCTTAGCTCTCCCTGATATTGAAAAGCCTTTCGAAGTTCAAACAGATGCATCCGATTTTACTATTAGAGGAGTGCTTTTGCAACAACATCACCCGATAGCATTTGAAAGTAGGAAGCTAAGTAAAGCTGAAAGGAAATATACGACCCAAAAAAAAGAGCTCCTGGTGGTAGTTCACTGCTTGAGGGCTTGGTAACATCATTTGTTGGGTTCACACTTTGTCGTGAAGATAGACAATGCGGTCATTAGCCACTTCTTCACCCAACCAAGGCTTATAGCGAAACAAGCTAGATGGCAAGAATTCTTAGCAGAGTTTGACTTTTGTTTTGAGTACACCGCTGAAAAGACCAATCAAGTGGCCGATGCATTGAACAGGCGAACAAATTTAGCGGCCCTTAGAAAAATTATCCTAATAACGGCTAGCAGAGCCATGACAGACATTCGTAAGTTAATTGAAGATCATTTAAGAAAGAACCCGCAAGCCTGTGCCATCCTGAAGCTAGTGGAAGAAGGGAAGTCCAAGTACTTCTGACAAGAAAATGGGGTCTTGTGGACTAAGGGACCTCGACTGTTTGTGCAAAGAGTAAGAGGTTTGAGATAAATGCTGATGAGGGAATGTCATGACACACAATGGGTCGGACATCCGGGTTGGCAACGCACTTTGGCGTTATTGAAACAGGGATACTATTGGCCCCACATACGACAAGATGTGATGGACTACACAAAGACTTACCTCATTTGCCAACAAGACAAAGTTGAAAAGAGGAAACTTGCAAGCATGCTTGAACCACTATCGGTACCCACCAGACCGTGGGAAAGCATCTTTCTCGATTTCATTTCGAGCCTACCTAAGGTTGGTGATCTTGGAATGATTTTGGTGGTAATTGACCGGTTCTTTAAGTACGTCACATTCATTCCCGCTCATAAGTATTGTACAGCGAAAGACACAGCTCGACTATTGTTTAAACATGTGGTTAAATATTGGGATCTCCCTCAAAACATCGTCAGCAATAGAGATCTGAGATTCATGGGGTCCTTTTTGAGAGAACTTTTCAAGATATTGGGGTCCCAGCTCAACATCTCCTCAAGCTACCACCCTCAAACCAATGGTCAAACATAACGATTCAACGGATTACTAGAGGAATACTTGAGGCACTTTGTTCAAGCCAATCAAAAGGACTGGCCTTCATTATTGGACATTGTTCAACTTTGCTTTAATTCTAACAAAAGCTCTTCCACCAACAAGAGCCCATTTGAGGTGATCACTGGACAATTACCAAGGCTACCCCACACTTCCTTGGAACAATATGAAGGAAAGAATCCGAGAGCCTTTAACCTTAGCAAGGAGTAGAAATAGAACACGGAGATTGCACAAGCCTATCTGGAGAAAGCATCAAAACGAATGAAGAAATGGGCAGACAAAGGTCGCAGGGCTCAACAATTCTAAGTTGGTGATTTGGTTCTTGTTCGACTAGTTCCTGAACAAACCAGATTCCTGAGAAAGAGAGATCGTAGACTAGTGCACAAATATGAGGGTCCAGTAAAGATCCTTTCCAAGGTGGGGAACGCTTCTTACAAAATCGACCTACCAACATGGATGAAGGTGCACCCAGTATTTCATGTGAGCAACCTGAAATCTTTCCATGTAGATCCTACAGATGTTAGCGGAAGGGAACCAACCAGAGCCGCCATCACCATGAAGCCACCCTCAGAGCGTCGAGTCGAAGATATCTTAACCGACAGGGAAACCAAGATATCTCGAAGACTAGTTCAGGAATACTTAGTGAAGTGGGAGGGATTAGGACTAGAAGAAACCAGCTGGAAAAGAGAACACGACTTCCAGAGATTCAAAAGGAAGATTGAAGAATTTCAAGCCAACAAGTCGATGAGGACGTCGATAGAATAGGTAGGGGAAGATGTCATGAGCCAACCTTGTATAGGGCCATGACCGGGGCTTAGGTTGCCATGAGCCACTCATGTATATGGCATGGCTGGGTAGATCTCTTGTGCTAGGAAAAGTGTTTCCATTTCAAACATTGTAATAGTTATTGATAGCATAGCTCTAAGATCTCTAAGGCTCTTTAAAGGGGGTGAGTCGGCAGCATATTGTTGGGCTGTCTTACCGGTTGCTATGCGGGCCTAGGCCATCCACTAAGGGCTGCCCCCTAACCCTGGTGATGGTGGGAAGTCCCGATGTATGATTCCTGATTATAATAAAATTCACCTCGATTGAATGTCCCGAGTGTTATCTCAATGTGTTTTTTTTTTTTTCGATGTGAATGTGCCTTCTTGGGTGTGCTTGAGATTGATCTCGATATATTGTGTTTTATTATGAATGCTTGGAACTAACCATGACTTATGGTTATTTGTTCAAATATCAAACTATTGAAAGCTAACTTGGGTGAGAGCGTCCATTCAAGTGTCGCACGACTTATCGCTTGTTGAGAGAAAGCTTAGTCAGTGACAATATGCTTGCGTTCAACTTGAACCGCTGTCAAAAGTGCACTGTTAAATTCCATTTGTTTATAAATATTGCATGATTTTTTGGGTCAAAGTCACATTACAGTGACATTGGCCTGGTCTCCATTTCTATTAATAGAAAAGGAAAGAGGCATTGTACAATCTCCCACACAATTCATCATGTATGAAAGTTGCGAATGCTGTTGCTCAACATGCCAAAGTCTTTTCTTTGCGTAGGAAGGTTGATTGGAGCAAAGTGAAAACTAACAACGACCCAATATTTTGTTGACTGAGCTTAGTTTTGGCCTTTGGGTGATTTCGTGAAAGTTGAAACTATAACGTTTAGCGATATGGTTTTGCTTTCAGAAAGCATAATTCGAGTAATCTTGCTTCTCTGTTTGTTAGGAATTATAGCTCTATTAAATGGTTCGGGTGTTGAGGCTAGGATTCGCTGGTATAAATGGGAAGTGAAGTACGAGTACAGGTCCCCTGACTGTGTAAAGAAACGGGTTATAACCATCAATGGCCAAACTCCAGGTCCTACAATCAGGGCGCAGCTAAATGATACTGTCATTGTTGAGCTCACAAACAGTTTGTTAACGGAAAATGTTGCAATTCATTGGCATGGAATTCGACAGGTATACTTTTACTTAATCTTCATATTTTACTTCTCAAAGCAATCCACAACACTTCTGAAGTTGCCTTTTTGATTGATAACAGATTGGAACGCCCTGGTTTAATGGAACTGAAGGAGTAACCCAGTTTCCAATTTTGCCAGGAACCACTTTCAGGTATCAGTTTGTTGTCGACAGAGTAAGTTCCAGTATTCTCAAACCTTACGGTTTCCTGTCAAGAATTATACACTAACTTTCATAATTTTGTTCAATATAGCCGGGAACATACTTGTATCATGCACATTCTGGAATGCAAAGAGAAGCTGGGCTATATGGATCAATCAACGTGGCACTTCCTGATGGACAGTCTGAACCTTTTACCTGTGATTATGATCGGAACATCATCCTCGACGATTGGTACCATAAAAGCACTTATGAACAAGCTTTTGGCTTGTCTTCTATTCCCTTCGAATGGGTTGGAGAGCCTCAGGTGAATACCGCAAGCTAATTTTTCCCAGAAATTGCTCAGTCCTCTGTTCTAGCAAGTATTTTCTAATGATTCTTCACTTAATTTTCAGTCACTTTTGATCCATGAAAGAGGAAAGTTCAACTGCTCTAGTTTAACTATTCCAGCTTTAGACACTGGTGCGTATAATTGTGCATGTTATTTAAATGTTAAAAAATTCAATATACGTAAATGTGCTATTTGAAAGAAATCTATGTATTTAAAAATAATCATAAAAGCCATATTTACGTGTTCTATCACATAATTAATTACATTAATTTTGAAATTCAAAACTTTTTAAAGGAAAATTTTTTTGAGCCCAACATAAAACGTTTTGCAAGTGTAAATTACAATTGAATTCTTAGATCTAGATAAGTTAGAAGAAGCTGCTTCATATTTTGGTCATTAGTTGGATTTGAAGCACTTCCAACCATTTTCCAACCTTAAAACAGTTTCAATAATCTAAAAGAGAAATTCAGGTCTCGAAACAAAATTAATTTTGTATTTTTACAAAGCTTGAATGTTAGATATGTTTGGTTCATTATGGCTAATAATGTGTTGAGTTGTCTTTTTATTGAAGTTTGTATTTAAACTATTTGTTAGGAAAAGGAAAGAAAAATGTATATTATATTTAAGGCAAGGCTATAAATGGACTTGATTTCACACACTAAATAAGTAAGGAATCAAAACATCAATTTCTTTTCTTAGGGGATTGAAAGGTTAATTCTAAGAACAAAACATCTAAACAAAGACATGTTTGGGATTTTACATTGGGAAAGGATTATGATTATGTTGTTGGTTACATGCATCTTCATATCCTTAATAACTGTCCCGGCTGCAGCTATAGAGCGCCATTACACCTGGGAGGTGACTTACCAGTACAAGTCTCTTGATTGCTACAAGAAACTAGCTATTGCCATTAATGGGTCGACGCCAGGGCCAACTATCTCTGCAGTGCAGGGAGATACAATCGTTGTCGACGTTATCAATAATCTGCTGATGGAAAATGTCGCAATCCATTGGCATGGAATCCGGCAGGTTTTGCTGTCGAATCACCCTTACTGCTTTCTATGAGATTTGAGTCAATAAGATATGATGATGAGCATATATATTCCATTTCCAAGTCCCAAGTTTGCTATGGAATCTGTGCATTTTCTGACTTGTTGAGCTATTGAAAACAGCGTGGAACACCTTGGAGTGATGGAACAGATGGTGTTACTCAGTGTGCAATCATGCCAGGGGAGACCTATAGATATACATTTGTGGTTGACAGGGTAATAACTAGAAGCCTTAACTAACATCTATACACCGAGCTTTATATCTAGCTTCTTTGAACCAGCTATTTCTCTTTAATTTTAATGTTATTAAAGCTCAAAATGATCTTTCTATTTGCTTGACATTAGGCGGGGACATATATGTACCATTCACATTATGGAATGCAAAGAGAAGCTGGGTTATATGGAATGATTAATGTTTCACTGCCAGTTGGGGACCCAAAGCCCTTCGACTATGATCTCGATCGAGGGATTATTCTCAGCGATTGGTACCATAGAACAGCTTATGAGCAATCAACTAGCTTGTCTTCCATACCTTATGAATGGATTGGCGAGCCTCAGGTAAATAGTCTTATATATTTTAGCTTTTAGTATGACATGTTTTCTGAACTGTACTTTTCTACGTGTTATATCTCATTTCAGTCACTATTGATAAATGGAAGAGGGAATTTCAGTTGTTCTGGCTTAGCACCTAGTGTTTGTAATTCGACAAATCCTCAATGCTCTCCATTCACACTGACTGTAATTTCTGGCAAAACGTATCGACTAAGGCTTGCTAGCTTGACATCTTTATCATCTCTCAGCTTTCAAATTGAGGTATACTGATTCCCCTAACTCAATATACAAAGTTTTAAAGTAGAAAGTATGCTTGAAACATTTTCCCTGTTTTGAAATGCAGGACCATGAGATGACAGTTGTTGAAGCAGATGGGCAATACGTCGAGCCTTTCGTCACTAAGAACTTGTTTATTTACTCCGGAGAGACATATTCTGTCCTAGTAACAGCAAATCAAGATCCATCCAGGAATTACTGGATCAGCATAAATGTAGTTGGTCGAAAACCTAAAACCCCAAATGGCTTAGCCATTTTCAATTACAATCCTGACCATTTTCTTATTCCCCCAACAAATCCACCATCAGGACCAATTTGGAATGACACACACTTGCGAATCAATCAAAGTTTGACCATTAAGGCTCGCCAAGGATTCATTGTGAACCCTCCCAAAAAACCAGACAGAATCATTGTACTCCTCAACACACAAAACAAAATAAATGGTTACATCCGTTGGTCCTTAAACAATGTCTCACATTCCTTTCCTACTACCCCTTACCTTATTGCCTTGAAGGAAAACATGACCGATATTTTTGATCCAACCTCACCACCTGAAGATTATGACTCTGCAAATTTTGACATATACAGTGTTGCAAACAACACAAATGCTAATTCTAGCACGTCCATTTACAGGCTGCAATTCAACTCAACAGTGGATATTATATTGCAAAATGCAAATACTATGAGAGCAAATGTTAGTGAGACACATCCCTGGCATCTACATGGGCATGATTTTTGGGTCCTAGGCTATGGGGAAGGGAAATTCAACTTGTCCAGGGACACTGACAAGTACAATTTGGTTGATCCAATTATGAAGAATACAGTACCTCTTCATCCTTATGGATGGACTGCCTTGAGGTTTCAAGCAGATAATCCAGGTGTATGGCTTTTTCATTGCCACATTGAAGCCCATCTCTTCCTTGGGATGTTAGTGGTTTTTGAATCTGGAATGGAACGGGTGGAAAATATACCTAAGGCCAATTATGGTTGTGGTAAAACCAAAGACTTGTTTAAGCCATAGTTTGATAATGGCGTTGCATAGTATTGTTTGAATAAATTTATGTTCCATTTTATTTCTCAATTATGTTTATCAAATCATTGAAAATTAGTAAAAAATGTTTACTTAAATTAATCTAGACAAATTGGATGACAAATATTTTGAAAAAAAAATCATTTTATTAATTTATTTTCAAAATTTAATGGGTAATTACAATTAAATAAAAGTTCATAATCTTAATTTCTTTAAAAAATTATTTTCATTTTTTATTATATATTAATCTTTTTATTCATTGCTCAAAATGGCTTATAACAGTGTAAATTTTGTATTCTTTTAATATTTGGATCAAAATGATTAAGATTACAAATATTATTTTGATCCAAATTAATCATAATTTTAATTTTGATCTAAAGGTTAAAAAAATTGAAAAATTCATTGATATATGTAGATCCCTACTATATATATACATTTGAGATCACGACTGGAGGCAAATTAAAAAGTTTTTGGAGTTAATTAATTTGGAAAAATAAGACAAAGGGTACACTTTGTTTAGAACGAGAAATAAGATTATGCTTAAGATATTGATACTGACTTACATGTAAGGGACAATTTTCCTCTTATGAAACATTGCTCATGATTTTCTAATTGTTTGTTTTTTAATTACAGATGGTATCACCAATGGAAGGCAAGAGAAGAAACAAAACCAGCAAAGGAGCATGAAAACATTTTGAAGCTACCACCTCAGATTACCAGTAACATACTGTCAAGGATTTCATCAGTCAAGACTCTCATCTATCGTAAATGCCTTTGGAAAACAAGGCAGTCTATAGTTTCAGACTCATATTTCACCCCAAACATCGCCTGTTAACCCCATTGCTTGCGAGCGATTTCATCGTGTGTTCAGAAACATCTTGTCGAGATCTTAAAGTCGATGAGGGAAATTATTACAGGTACAATGTGCCACCTGCCAAGTTAAAGATTAGAAAGAAACAGATCTTTCAGAATTGTTTTCACGTTGGATACTCTATGGATGGCCATGTACACAAATTCTGAAGAACATCCAGTAATTAGCTTCAATCCTTGAGTCAGGGTTTGGTACTTCATTGATAAATTCGGTTATCCAGCAATGCCTCAGGTTTAGCAACAACAAGAACAATTTTAGAAACATTGAATAGCTTTTTGACAGAGAGACAGAGTAGAATGGAGCATGGACGTGCAAGCAACACATGAATTTTTTTTTTTTGTTATTATTGTTTTCTAATTTAACAAGTCAGCGGTCATAGAGTGGTTGTGGCACGCATCGTGTGTTGATTATTGTAAAGATGAATTAATTTTGTAGTCTGTTTCCTTCATGTGGAGCAAAAGTGATGGGACATGCAAATCACTACTGAGATGATCTAGGCATGCTATCCACGTTCAAATTTATGCTCGTTCTTCCTCTTTAAGCAGTTGGGGGATCTCTCCTTTCATCCTCACAGTCTGTTTCTTTTCAATTCCATGGCACTTCCTATTTCGAAAGTAGTTCCCAGTCCCACAACAAACAACATTGCTCGAGAACTAGAAGAAATCTACAAAAATCTACATGAGCTTGACTTCATTGCAATTGAAGGACCTAAAATCCTGGAGAAAAGGGAAAGCCTGCAAAAGGAAAAACAGATATCTGTTGATCCAGTTTCATTGAGAGAATCATCCATGGGAGAAATAAGTTTCAACATGATGTTACCTCCCATCAATGCACCTCCTGGTGACACTGCTGTATCTCTTCCTCCCCCTTTGCTACCTGCAAAGCACAAGTTCATAAGTTGTAGCCTTCCAAACTCTGCAACCTCTTCCCCTCGATTTGGCTCAATTCTGTCAAGGAAGAACTTGATCGAAAGTCAAGCATCTCCTAGACAAGTTGATAAGTTGGTCAATAAGCACCCATCTGCCACAAAATATCATCAGTCTCTGCTGAAAAACAACCAGTTTTGGAAAAGCAAGTCTTATGGAGAAGGAAGAACATGTGCACCACGAGATGAACTTGATGATTTTTGGCTGCACGATGCAACAGCCCTTCAATACAAGAATAAGCATCATGGTCGTGGCAGCTTAATCCCCAATGCCAATGTTAACTATGATGGTCGTCGAAAGAGCAGTAAGAAGATGGACGGTAATGAGGTTGACTTCAAATGCAGCGCCCTTTGTTTGTTCCTACCAGTCTTCGGTAAGGCAAAGCTAGTGAGGCCAAGAAAGGCAGAAGCAATGGTGATGGAGAATAATGAGATATCCAGAACAGTTTCCCTGGAAAAGTTCGAATGCGGATCATGGGCTTCATCAACCATAATATCAGACCACGATGAGGATGGAAACTCAATGAATCTCTACTTTGATCTGCCATTGGAGGTGATAAAAAATCTTGGGAACGATGCACATTTACCGGTTTCTGCTGCTTTCGTGTATGATAATAAAGATATAAAAGGAGTCCTGAAAAATGGTTCGGCTTCAACAAGAGCAACAGGCAGGAAATCCCATGAATCATCTCGCCATGTCAGGTTTTCCACATCATCCCCAACATCACACCCCGCCTCACCTGCTTCTTGTATCACACCTCGCTTGCGCAAGGCTAGGGAGGATTTTAATGCTTTCTTAGAAGCACAAAGTGCATGAAATTTTCTTACTCAAGTGCCCTTAACAGTTAACTCTACTGTGTATGAATTTTGACTTCCCTTTTTATCATTTACCGGTAAGGCATTGCCCCAAGAAAATAAACTTTATGCCATTGAATTTAAAAGAGGTGACAGGCGATTAAACCCAAATTTTCTTCTTTGCTTTATTGGTATAATTGATTAACTTTGCAAACTTCACTGCACTGATCTGCTAACAAATCAAGATGATTAATTGATTGGCCTGATAAAATAAAGAGCAATGCTTTGCCTTTTAGTCTTTGCTCAGCCCAATGAAGTTTACTTGCTAGTCTTGAACCACTCTTTGCAGGCCACAGATTTCAAACCCACCTGCCAAACTTGCTGAGTAAATCCACAAGTGAAAAATAAATGATCTCCAGAATCCACCTCCTAAATCCCAGAAAGTAAAACAGCTAACGTTCGAATCAGAAGAAGCTGTATTTCAAGAACTAATCTTTGTTTTGTTGGTAACCTACCAGGAATAGCCATCCATGCTAATGTTATTCATTTGGTCACCTGCCCTTTAACTTCGCCTTTGTTTGTAGCATGCCAAACTTGCCATGATATCAAATTGAATAAAGGTAAATGAAATAATTCTTATGACATCTTTTCCTTGTTTTTCTCTTCTGTGATCTTATCAGATCTAACGTCTAATAGTTGCTTATCCTAGTAATTCACTTCTGGGATAATGGACTTGTTCAGTTACTACTTACACAAATTTCTTACATGAAATTAAAAAAAGAAAAAGAAAAAAAAAAGAAATACTCTTACAAGATTATAAATGAACTATCACCCCTTGTCTTCGGCTTTTTGGTCTAATGGCCAAGGTAACCTTAAGAAGATATCAAAGTTGAGGTTCGACGCTAACCTCCCTCCCTTGCTCTTGTTGTAGGGCTCTGCCCTCTTTATCAAATCAAAAAAAAAAACTATCACCCTTCGAGCTATTAGAATTAGAGTTTATTAGATTTGCCAGAATCACCTTAATTATCACCTTAATAATCATCTCAAACAAACTAATCTAGGTGAACTAATTATAAGGGAAAGTGTACAAATCAAGAACCAATATATAGTCATAAATAATTGTCTTTTTCTATGTTCCATGGATTCAGGTGTAAGCATTTGATACAAGTATAATTTAAGTGTTTGATTCTTTTGTCGTTTAGAATTTCAGACTTATAAAATCAATTAAAAAAAAAAGATATAGATACATAAATACATTTTATAATAATATTTTCTCCATTGAATGTTGAGTCATAGTCAAAGTTAAGCTTACATATATACCGAAAAGGCCAATGGAAAAGTAAAATTCAAAACTTTGACTAAAAATCATCCGCACTTATTAATTGTTTCTGGAAACTCTTTCCTTTCCCTTTCTTCTTTCAAGTCAGTCTGTAACTTTCCAACTCCTCTTATTCCTTATTAGTTTATCATCTCTTCTGTCTCTGTTATGACAAGTCTGGATCATCTACCTATGATTTTGACATTTATCAGTGTCCAATTAAAAGTGCAGTCGAAGTCCACTTTGCTGAATTTTTGAACCACATGTCTGGACTTAACTAGTCAAGTATAGCATACTGTTCAGTCGGTCTTAATTTTCAATTTGACTGGAAATTTAACCTCATTCAATAGATTTTTATTTTAATTTCCTTTAGGTGTATGATGCTAACAATCAGTTTGCAACTAACACATGGGGGGTGTCAAATAGAAAGCCAGCCCCTCTCAATTCATTGAGAATTGCTTGGTACTTACGAAGGAAGGAAATTTTATATTTTTCTACCAAATACAGCAAGATTAAACGAACTATTCTTTATTTTTTTTTTCAAAACACGGTTTAAAACTTTAATTATATATATTTTGAACCAAAAAAAAAAAAAAAAAACCTTTACCTATCGATGTTTTTAACAAAAACACGGTTTCTTTTGTCTTCTTTAAATTGATTTATACCTATGTATAATGATAGAATGAGAACAAACGGAGGAAAAATCATAAAGAATAGTACCCAAAAGAAAAAACAAATCATAATAAATCTAAACAACTTTAATTCGAAATGAAAACGATGGAAAGCAAAACAATCCAACACGATCGAAGAAGACAAAGTTAAAAGTGGGTTTCCTCGATTATTGCAATGTAAAGAAGAAAAAGAAAACAAAGCTCGTACTAAAAAGGTCAAAAAGATGTCAAACGACGCGTTTTAACAATCTGTTCTTAGAATACATTCACATTTACATCCCATGGCCAAGATTTTGCCTTAGAAAGTGTATTATTCCTTAAAAGTAATACTATGACCTTTGATTTTTCATTAAAATAATTTGATATCATTCTTCATCTATAATCTATACTGTTATAAAAATCATAATTCCATTGACGG